TCTGTGTCAATCAATAATGTCGAATATTTATCACAAGCTTACAACCAGTCCAGCCACCAAAGCCAGATAACTGAGACCCTGATTGGGTGAGGCAAGGGATCAAAGGAGAAGCAGGAATCGGGGTAGATGATGGGCAAACTTAACCTGGTATAAAGAGAATTATTGAGAAAGAGAAGGGACAGAGGGAGAGAGAAGGAAGAAGCTATAATAAACTCAAAATTATAATGCAAAAGTGTAACTGGGTATTACTTAAGCCAGACTAGTGGCATCTCATATCACACTCTTCTGCAATCTTCTTGTCTTTTTTAAAAATAAGTAAACATTATTTATATAGACAAAGTTTCCTCCATTAAAGGCTTAGTACCCAGTAGTTGCTGCAACTACCTATCTTCCTTCTGGTCATTTTCTGGCTTCCAGGAACTTAGCAGTTTCCCATGCTACACCTTCCCTGCCATGATATGTCATGCTGTCACAGGCTCAAAAGTAATTGAGGCCAGTGAACCTTAGCATGAAACCTCCAGAGTCAACCCAAATAAGCCATGTCTCTTTATAAGTCGATTAGCTGGAGTGTTTCCTTGTAGGCATGGAGAGTTGACTAACGCTGTGAAGTTGGGAGACAAAGTTAAGCCTGCTTCAGAATTTACAGGTAGCAACAAATTGATAAAATCAGGGTTGGGGCCCATGGATTGTTAGAGAGCCACCTACATTCCCAAGTATGGCATAACTCCTACTGCTGTCTAGTTCTTTCATCTCTGATGAGGTCACACAGATGGACAATGAGTTACTACCCTCACATTTGCTTTTCTGTAGAGAGCACTTTAGCCATATGGTATTCAGGGACATGGTCATCTGCTCTGTTGAAAATACTGACTCTTCCTTGACCCTTCAGATAATGGGTGACTGGAATGGATGCAAAGGCTTGGTCATCACATTGTGTTATAAACTTTGCTGCCTTAACCTTTGAGTAGAGACTTCTGCTCAGTTCTGCGTGCAGATGTGCTGATCATCGCTGGGAGCGCTTCCTTCTAAAACTGTGAATCAAGGCTAATCACCTAGACTTGACTGATCTCTCCCTCCCACTTCAACCCAATGACACCAAACAGCTATCTGACAGGAAATGACAGGCCACAGAAGGAATGTGGGAAAGGTTGCAGGAAGATCTTTCCTATTCCCAGAAAACACACACACACACACACACACACACACACACACACACACACCTCCTTTGTTCACTTGCCTTCTTCCCTCCCAGATCTTCAAGAGACTGATTTTTAATTCATTAATCAGGTCGTAAGTATTTATAATGCTTCCATGCTTTGTTTAATAGTGAATATGCTGCCATGAGCTTTGTGCACCTGTTTTGGTGTGGATAAAACTTTGAGCTTTCTTGAATACATACCTGAACTGGGATTGTTGGGCACCATGGCAGCTCCCTATTTAACACTCTGAGGACCTCTTAGATACTTCTCTAAAGCCAATGTGGAATTTGACATTCTCATGGAGACATCTTTCTGACATATATTATTAGATATTCCCATCCCATATTTTACTTTTTGAATTACCGTACCATGTAGATAGCATCAAGGTATATATAGTACATTAGATAGCATTATGCTGCTTACAAATAAAGTATGTTTTAGTACTTTCACCTCTTTTCCTCCCTCCCCCACTTCTCTGACCCCTTAATGCAAAGCAACCCCCATCTCTTTCATGCTTTCACGTTACCTATGTCCGTAAGGCCCCTCTTCCTTAGCACCTCTTTTTATCCCCCTTTATTTCTTCTCTACCACCCATAGGCTTTACCCACATTTACAACCATTCATATATAGACACATTTATATTTCAAGCTGTTTTGCTTTTCTGACCTTCAGGTTGAACTCCAATTTCTGTGTCTGGTTCTTATTAATCATGCTACACCTTTTGGGTTACTTCATGCAGGTAGTAGAGTGTGGTTATACAAAGAACAAATAAGACTTTTCCTTATAATTTCCTTGGCTTGTTGCCAAATGACAGAAAAATCTTTCATTAAGCCTTTGCTATTAATATGGTGCTGCTTACACAATTATGAGGCTTCTATCAGATTTCCTACCAACAGCTGATAAATTTCATCATTGCCTCATTTTAGAGGGACTGGTAGACCCATATGGGATCTAATATGTATTATATACAAGGGATGATTTCTATTTCGGATTACTTACTGCAGTTGAATACATACCAAATTTAATTCTGAATCATCTGAAATAAGTTTAGCAGTTTCACTATGTAAAACAACTCTTTCTGCGTATTGAGAGTCAGTAACTATATTAAGAGGTTCTAGAAAATCTAATAATACCATGAGAATAGCATATTATTTTGACTTTAAATGGAATCCTAGGGCTTTGAGCCACTTTGCTTATTGTTCCTGACTTATAACCTGCGTTTCATGATTTATTTTCATCCATATAGAATGTAAGGGTTTGAGAAATCAGTGTTCCTCATGCCAACTGAGGGAGAATCCAATTAGTTATTTTTATAAACCAAAGTCTCTTGTTTTGAGAATAATTTTTGTTAATTTCTCCCCAAAATTACTGCAAGCTTTTTGCCAATGTTCATTTTTTTTTCCCAAATGAGAAAAAGTTCATCATTAGTAAAAGGTACCACAATTTCTATTGGGTCACGTCCCATTAACTGATAAAATCTCAAATATTTAGAATTTAGTCAGAAACTGTTTTTATATAGGTTCTTAATTTTTTACTCTATTTTTGTGACAAAAATATCCATTCTAAAATATTATCTCCTCTCTGCATAAGAGTCCCTGTGGAAGAATGGATAGAAGGTAAAATAACCAGAATACAACCAAGTTCTGGATTCAAGAGATCCACATATGCATTCTGTTATTTATTTTCTACCAGAGTCAATTCTCTCAACTTCAGCTAATAATTTTCTTGGACTACTTAAGTCCTTGTCGCCATGTAAGGTTTGAAATAAATTCCGTAGTTCTTGAGTTATTAATGTGATTCTAGGCCATAGCCAGTTAATATCTTCCAGCAGTTTTTGAAAATCATTAAGAGTTTATAATTGATCTCTCCTGATTTGTACTTTTTGTGACTGAGTTTTCTATAAACCTATCTTATCTCCTAGGTAATTAATAGACTCTCCTCTTTTTATTTTTTCAGTAGCAATTTGCAATCCCCAAGAAGGCAAAATTTTCTTTTTTTTGGTGTGTAAATGTGGTTTATTGATCCTCAATTACCCTCCTTCATTTATGCATTGCTCATAGCTGTTCTTTTTTCTTTTTATTTATTTATTCTTTAATATTTATTTATTTATTAAAGATTTCTGCCTCCTCCCCACCACTGCCTCCCATTTCCCTCCCCCTCCCCCGATCAAGTTCCCCTCCCTCATCAGCCTGAAGAGCAATCAGGGTTCCCTGACCTGTGGGAAGTCCAAGGACCACCCACCTCCATCCAGGTTTAGTAAGGTGAGCATCCAAACTGCCTAGTCTCCAACAAAACCAGTACATGCAGTAGGATCAAAAACCCATTGCCATTGTTCTTGAGTTCTCAGTAGTCCTCATTGTCCACTATGTTCAGCAAGTCTGGTTTTATCCCATTTTTTCCTAAGGTATCTGAGTCTGAATCAGCTAATAAAATACCATCAATATAATGGTAAATCTAGATTGAGGAAACAGTTTACAAATTATTTCCAATGACTGTTGTATAAAACATTTGCACAAAGTGGGGCTGTTTAACATCTCCTGTGGAATAATTTGCCATTGATACCATTTAACAGTCAGGGAATTATGATAAATATGCACTATCAAGGTAAAATTTTCTCTATTCAGGTATAGTAAAGGTATAGTTTTAAAAAAAGACATATTCTCTGAGAGAATCTGGGGTATGGGCAATGCTCTACCACCCATCATCTGACTTGGGAACCTACACACCATGATGGCCTGTAACCAAGAAGTGTGAGCTGAAAACATACCCTTCATCATGGTTATCGGTGTATTATAGTATAGCTAAAAGAAAGAAACTAAAGCATTTGGTAAATTACAGCAAACAAAACTCACAAGGCCTATGAATTTTTCTATTATTATTATTATTATTATTCTACTTAAAAAAATACCAATCCAAATTCCCACTCCCTCCCCTCTTCTCACTCCCTCCCCTCTTCCCACTCCCTCCACACACCCTCCCACTCCTCCCGCTCCAATCCTAATAGAGGACAAGGCACCCTGCCCTGTGGGAAGTCTAAGGCCCTCTTTACTACATCTAGGTTGAGCAAGGTATACATCCAAAGAGAATAGGATCCCAAAAAGCCAGTATATGTAGTAGAGACAAATCCCAGTGTCACTGTCGGTGGCCCCTCAGTCTTCTCCAACTGTCAACCATATTCACTGGGACTAATTTGGTCCTGTGCTCCTTTATTCCCAGTCCAGTTGGAGTTGGTGAGCCCCCATTAGTTCAGGCAAACTGTCTTAGTGGGTGAACCCCTCATGGTCTTGACTTCCTTGTTCATATTCTCACTCCTTCCACTTTTCAACTGGACCTTGGGAGCCCAGTCCAGTGCTCTGATGTGGTTCTCTACCTCTGTTTCCATCTGTTGTTGGAGAAAGGTTCTATGATGATATTTAAGATAATCATCAATCTGACTACAGGGCAAGGCCAGTTCAGGCACCCTCTCTTCTATTTCTTAGGGTCTTATCTGGGGATTTCTGATTATTTCCCTGGTACCAGGTTTCTCACTAGCTCCATAATGGATCCCTCAGTCAAGAAATCTCTTTCCTTGCTCTCATCTCTGTCCTTCCTCCATCTTGACTATCCTATTCCCTCAAGTTCTCCTCAATCCTCCCCTTCTCCCCTTCCTTCTACTCCCTACCCCCATGAGAGGTCAATGAGGGAGTACTTAGCATTACATCAGAGGCATACACACATACACACACAGCATATGCACATACACAACACACTTGTACACATACATAAACAAATACACACACACAGAGAAATGTAGCACGATTAATAAAAACTCAGACACAGAAATTGGGGTTCAACCTGAAGGTCAGAAAAGCAAAACAGTCAGCTACTGGCTCTTACCTCTGCCTCAGTCTGAAATAATAATCCTGCCTTCAAGAATCTCAAAATAAGACTGTGTCTGAGAGCTGTCTCTCCCAGTTTATATTCCTCTCTAGTGCTGGGATTAAGGGTGTACACCACTACAGCACGGCTTCTATGGCAAAGTAGTGTGGCTACTGGGGTTAAAGCTGTGTGTCACCACTGCCTGGTCTATAAGGCTGACCTGTGTGGCTGTTTTACTTTCTAAACTTCTGGCAAAGTTTATTTGTTAAAATACAAATGAAAGAGAGTGAGAGACAGAGACAGAGAGACAGAGACAGAGAGAGACAGAGAATGAGAATGAGTGATGGGGTTCTAAAGATTTGTTAGTAACAAATCTGAATCTCACATACTGTTGTTCCAGTGCCATCCACTAGGGGGTGTCACTAAAGCCATACAGAAGCCCTATGTTCTGCAGCTTCCAGAACCATGAACTAATCACTTCTTTTGTATAAAGCGTCCAGAATCAGATATTTTCTTATCTTTTTGTTTCATCTTAATTTGTTTTTCCATGTTTGTTCGTTTTTAATGGTCTCATGTAGCCCAGGCTTGCTTTGAATTTGCTATATACACAAGACCGCCTTTGCTTGACTTCTAATCATTTCAACTTCATCAGCTAAGTGCTGGATTTACAGGTATGTGCCACCAAGCACAGACTTGTCACAACATTTATTAATCCACAGATAAATCATGAATCATGGGAGAGGGACTGGGCAAAGGTAGTGGGCTGACTCAGCAGCACCCTCTCTCAAGGAGAGGAGAACCGGCCACAGAACAGAATCCCCCTTGTCTTGCAATGCTGGATAAAGAAAAGGAAGGGGTGGTCGGCACAGAAGTAGGGGGGCATACACTTATAAACTACACTGGAGGTGGCAGCCGCAGCCTCTGTGCCCTCCTCATTGACCTCCACAAAGGACTTATGCACAACCTTGGACAGAGACAAACCATGCTTGGATGATATTCCAGAAAAGTCTGCCCTGTCTTCAAAGGCATCCGTCATTCCCAGCTTGCACAGGAAGTCCTCCATGTCATAATTCTCCTCCAGTTTAAACCGTGGGAGGAAAACCTCCACCTCTTCTTCATCCATCTTGTCCAGCCTCGTCCACTCTATGAAATTTTCATAAGTTATTTCCTTTTCCACCTAGAAGAGAGGTGGACACTTTAGGACAATGTTGTCACCCGGGGCACTTGAGGCTCTACACTGCCCTGGGATGTGTGGCTTTAAGTTAATGTAGTAGCCGGGAGGGGCTAGGATTCAGCTTGGTGGTGAGTGTTTGTCAAGCAGGCTCTAGGCTCTGGGTTCCACCCCTGCCTCAAAAATGAATAGAAGATAAAAACATGAACATGGGAGCCTAGGAAGCCACCCCTGCAGAAACACAAATGCCACTCTTTCTCCCTCACAGTTCCATCAAGGTCTCGTGATCATTACCATTTTCAGTTCAACGTGCTCATCTGGAAGCATGATGATCATGTTCAGCTCATTGCCAGCATAGGGAAGCAACAGAATTGCAGTGGATATCTCTTCCACGTAGGTCATCTTAAAGGAAGACTTCTTAAACATCATCTGCACAGGTTTCTCCTCATTCTGTGAAGGATGGATAAATATTAAGTTGAAACAAGACACAATGGATACTTTGCAACCACTCTATGCCTCCAGGAGCACTTTGATAAAGCTTCCAGAATATTTCATCAGCCTCTCAAACTTCTGGAGTAATTTAGAACTTACATGTGCTTCAAAGAACCCATTTTTTAAAGGCTTGGTCCTCAGAGTAGAGTTTTGGGAGGAAGTAGAATCTTTAAGATATGGGGCCTAGTAGGGGGTATTCAGGTCGTTGGGATGCACCAAAGGGATTGGAGAATCCTGACCTCTTTTTCCTCTCTTTCACTTTTTGTCCTTGAGGTGAACCCTTTTGCTCCCTATCTGATCCCACCATCACCAGTCAGAACTCCTATTACAGGCTTAAATCACGGATTCATCTCATCAGGAAATGGAATCCCTAAAAATGAGTCAAATGAAGCTTTTCTCTTCTTAAATTGATTATCTCCATATCAGTTAATACAGTGTCAGGAAACTGACCTGCCCAGTCTTCAAATAAATCTGTTGTCCTTACAGGGGATCTCATTTATTCTCATGACTTTGAACATAATTCCCAAATTCACTGTTTTAGCCTGGACTTTTCCCCTAGAGCTCCACACATACATTTTACTTCCTGTCTGACTTTTTCACTTAGAAAGAAAATCCCAACTTAAGATGTCACCACAAGCTCTGTACTTTCCTTTGCAAATCTGATCTCCCTACAACTATTCTCTGTCTTAGTCAGTGTTTTATTTCTGTGAGGAATAGAACCACAGCAACTCTTATAAAGGAAAACATTTCGCTGGGTCCTACAGGTTTAGAGGTTTAGTCCATTATCATCATGGCAGGAAGCATGGAGGTATCTAGGCAGATATGGTGTTGCAGTCAAGAGTCCTACATCTGGGTCAGCGAGCAACAGGGAAAGAGAGAGAGAGAGCCTCTGGGCCTGGCTCAGGTATTTGAAACCCCAAGGTGACACACTTTCCCCATCAAGGCCACACCTACTCCAACAAGGCCACATCTCTTTTTATCCAGTTCAAAAGTTTTTATTGGTTTAGAAAATACGATCCATTCATTCTGGGGAATGAAGAGCTGAGCCTAGGGATCCACCAGTAATGAGCACGAGACTTTTAGTCGATCAGTTCTTCAAGCTTAAACCATAGACTGATCTCTTTCTCTGCACCTCACACTGAATCACTGCCATGAATGATGATTCTGCCAACCTAAATGCAAAAAATCCCCTCGAATGGTGCCTGGCTTAGAATCAGCTGGATTGGTCTCTCCCAGCATCATTTGGCCTGTCTTCACCACATTGAGCCCCTCCCAGCTCATGGCCACCACAGGCCCCGTGTTCATGTACTTCCCCAGCCCCGGGAGAAAAGGATGGTCTGTCTTTCAGGTCAATGTGGTGCTGCTTCAGATGTTTCTCAGAAGCCCGAAGGAACTTCATGGCCACCAGGCAGAACCCCTTTTGCTCGAGGCGCTTGATGCTTTTACCCACCAGGTCGTGCTGCGTGCTGTCTGGCCTGATGGCCACAATGGTACACTCCAAGTTAGCCATGGTCCACAAGTTGGTTGTTCTGCCAGTGTCAGCGATGAGCAATGGGAGCAGAAACCAGAGCCAAGGCCACGCCTCTTAATGATACTCCCTAAACATTCAAATATGAGTCTGAGAAGACCATTATTATTTAAGCCACCACACTGTCCCTCATAGTCCTTCTAACTGACAACACCATTACCTGTCTGTTGTAGGAATTTAGCAGAGTCACCGCATCAAGTGCAAACAGAAGAACAGAATACTTGCTTCTTTCTAACTGTATCTAAAGTAAATATCAGAATGAACAGCTGTTTTCTAGAAGGACTTTAACCTTGAAGAAGTCATGGTGGAAGTCAGTGATTGCTTTCTGTGATTAATAGAGATGCTTTTCTGAAGCAGCGTTATGGCCGTTGCATGATTTTAGTCACAAGACATCCCTGGCACACCTGGGGCTCTTGAATTGTTGGGTACTGCAAATAGTACACAATAAAGACTAAAGGGGAAGGGGTGTGATGCTTTCCTTCAGAAAAACATATAGATTAAATCAGGGACTTTGCTATGATGAACTTGTTTATCCAAAAAACAACTTTGTGTAACCGTCAATAAATATGCCTTTGAATGGAGGGTCAAGGTTCAGTACTTCAGAGACTGTTCTTCCTTGCTGCCAAGGCCTAAAATTCATCTTGGAGTGATCATCTTTCTTTTATTATCTCATGCAACAATGGACATATGACATCATAATGTAAATGTCTGATATACAAATATCATTCCCTTCTCACACCCTGCATCTGCCTCATTCCCATATTACAACATCTGTCCCTTTGAAATAGAATCAAAATCTGACTTTTTTAAAAACTTCACTGTCACCAGTACAGCCCTGAGGTACCGTGATGACCTTCTTGTCATTGACCTCAGCACAGCAGCCAGAGGTTCCAGCACAAGGCAATGGTTTAACACCCCAGTATGGCAATGCTCTTGTGCAGTGGTTCTCAACCTGTGGGTTGCTACCCCTACAGTGGTTGCATACCAGATATCCTGCCTATCAGATATTTACATTATGACTTATAGCAGTAGCACAATTACGGTTATGAAACAGCGTCAGGGGCCATGAGAGATACAGCAGGTGATAACTAGTATTCAACAGGCCAGCCTACCAATGAGTGGTTCTCTAAAAAGGAGGCCCACCTGGTAAGGTCATGGACTTTCTGGCTGTGGAAACCAGTTTCTCCATCTGTAGTTTCTCTCATGAGTCACTTTATTTCTTCCCTAAGAACTTCATTTCTTCCTTAAGAAAACCTTTGGGTGTTTTCCCACTGTGTGTGTGTTTATCTCATGAAAATGTTCCGTCTGCTGGGCACATATATCTGTGGGTGATCAGGAAAATGGATTTTCATTTGTCTGTATAATTTTGATATATAGAAAATATACTGGGACATGCTTCAGAACTGGATCTATTTGTCCCAGGAGGACTGTAGACACATAAGAGCCTGCTTTGTTCCTTTTTACTCAGAGTAATGTCAAAAATTAACAATGTCTTCTCAGTCTAACACAAACTTCACACAATTAGCTAACTTCTATCTCAGAGCAAGTTTAAACTAGACTAAAAGGGTTTTGTAAATAGATCTGTAAGTCCCAGTTTCTGGCCTCTATCTTTAGAGGCCCTGTCCCTGTGCCCACCAAAGCTTGACCCCTCCCCGAAGGAGGGTCAAGACAGCCCGCCAAAAACTTGACCACGTCCCCAGTCTATTTAAACTGCTCCCCTGGAAAGTCCCCTTGTGGCCTTCACCTCCCCTCCACCCACTGTAGTCGCATTTGTGGCTTCCTGGTTTCCCTTGGGGCCACCCAAGAGCACAGGAATCCCATTAAACCATTAATTTAGCTTGTTGAGATTTGGCTTGTTGGGATTTTTGTGTTGGCAGAGAGCTCATGTTAGGAAAATCCCTAACAATATCAAATGTTTGAAACCTTACAACGCAGATGTCCAACCAAGGTTACTAAGAAAAGCCTGCCGAATTCTTTGCTTGCCAGTCTGTTAACAAAAGATCTCTGTCAAAGCTTATCTCACTATACCTCCTGTCTGCTGGTCACTGTCTCATTTCTGTAACCTTGGACCCTTGTGTTGTCATGGCAATGGCTCACCTCCCTATCACTTGCCTTAGGAATGTGCTCTTGTCCAAAAAGAAACAACTCTTGTAATTTCTTTATTGCTTCAAGGCTCCTGAAGGAGAGGAGTTTTTAGAGTAGAATAAAAAGAAGCTAAGAGAAGCAGCTAGGAGAAGTTAGAAGTAGCATAGAAGGATTAGGATAGAAGCAGAACAATAAAGAAACTGATACAGAAAAGTATGCAGTGGAGAATTCATTTGCCCTCAGATTTTTCTAAGTCCCTCCACTTGCCATAGCATTCTCTCTGAACCCTGAGGGACACTGAGACTGCAACTTAAAAGCCCTTGTGAAAATAGCAACAAAAAAAATTTATGGATGTCAGTCACCACAGCATGGGTTGTATTAAAGATTTATAGCCTCAGGAAGCTTGAGAACCACTGCTCTAGTGTGAGCATAAGTTGATAATCTTAGACCAACCTAGAATCCCAACACAAGCTTGTCCTGCTTGCACTCCCCCTCACCTCAGAACACGGAACCTCAGATCCTTATGTCCTGGTATCTGCTCACATCCATCTTCCCAGTGAAGGCTTCCTTCATATCTTTCATCCATAACCACACCCTATACTAGCTAGTTTGATGTCAACTTGACACAAGCTAGAGTCATCAGAGAGGAAGGAGCCTCAGTTGAGAAAATGCCTCCCTAAGATCAGGCTATAAGACATTTTTTAACTAGTGATCAATGGAGGAGGGCCCAGCCCACTGTGGGTGGTTTCATCCTGGGCTGGTGGTCCTGGGATCTATAAGAAAGCAGGCCAAGTAAGCCAGGGGAAGCAGGTCAACAACCAGCCCAAGCACAGCATCCTACTACCTCCACTGTATGTTTCAGTGGAACATGTCAACCACAGTGATCTTCCCTATGTTTATTTCTTATTGCTCTGCCTCAGGAAAAAAAACGTCATGTGTGTGGGCACACACAGCCAGTTAATGCCTGGGACACAGCAGGCTCAAGTCACACCTTCTTACTACATTAGTGACAACTAGTGAGCAGCAATACTGAGGGCCAGGCAAAATGAACACCTTACTAGAAAAAAACAAAATGAAACTGTAGTTGAACCAGAAGCGACCATGTCCTCTACCTGTCTTCCTCGGTTCTTGACCATTCTTGTGATCTAATGCTAGAAACAACTACAAAATTTACTGAATATCTTGTGACCAACACAGCAAACAGCTCTTTGCAGTCACAGTTCTCTGGCATAGCACCCTCTTCTGAAACAAAATGAACAAATGTTCTATCTTCGCCATGTCATGTCTGCCTGAGCTAGCCCGGAGCCAAGCAGCTTCCTGGCCTTGTCTCTTCTGTTATGTCCCTGGCCTGCAGCTAGAACACTTTATGAGGATGCTTGGATTGTCGATCGTGTGGCCCACACAGTTTCTGTCACAACCATGCTTGTCTGCGGCTGGAGCATCCATCAGTAACAAGCAGGACTGTTCCTAAAGAAACTCTGGGAAAATGGACCTGGACTGGCTTTTGGCCATAACCCACAAGGAGTTGATCTCTGCCTTGTGCAATTTCTCCCCAAATGTCTCCAGTACCTAAAGCATCCAATCATGTAATATAAAAGTAATTTAATGATTCGCTGATTTGTGTCTGTAATTCCTATTCATTTAGTAATGTGGAATATAAACAAAAATCTGTTTCAATACAAAATCTTGTGGTTTTGGTCCTGCAGCTACCGCAAGTACATTATACTGGTAATTATCACGTGCTGTTTGAACTTACCTGGCAGCTCTTTCTGGAAGAGATGTTGCCTCTCCCCTCCACCCATGTTTCCAAACCAAACATGTTTATGTCCAGTATTCTCCTAGGCTCCTGGTCTATGATCAGCTGTCCCCCTCCTCCCAGATCTGACAGGAAATGCAAAACAGACCAAGAGTATAAACACTGTGTCCCTGAGAACAGTTAGAAGGTAAGCTGCTTCCAACAGATGTTTCTAGTGCTTATTCCATGATATAAAAGTACCCACAGTGGGAAAGAAAAGTTCTGCCATGGGAACCTCAGCCATGGAGAGAGAGCTCAATTGGGTTTCAGAAGACTGCTTCCACTTCCCAGGAGGCTTCTACTGGGTGTTTTAAGCCCTCATTTGGTGGTATTATCTCCATCTGTTGTTATTTGGTCTTTTACTGCAAAGCCTCACACAGGGCACATTCTGTTCTCTCTGGGATTCTCAATGAGGAACTCTAGCTGGCTAATTTACGGGACACCCTGCTCCACCTGCAGTTCCCTCTCTTGGAAACGCCAGCTGATTGCTTTATTTAGTGGGGGCTTTCCCAATCAATTTCTACATGATGTTCTGAGTTCCTGATTTGATGGTGGCCATTCATTCATGCATCCATTCACCCGTCTACATCTATCTCTTGTTTTTTGTCCTTTTCCTTTAACTGGCTCATTCACTAGACTGGCAGCACGCATATATGGGTTGCAGTCAATCTTCACTCTAGCCACAGCCGCATCTTTATCTTATCTACTGCAGAGATAAGAAATGAAAATAGAATAAAATGTATTAGAAAGATTTCCCTCTGGATGAAAGAGCAGGAGCTCAATGGAGAGACTTCTTGCTCTCCTTCCTCCCTCTGTCCTTTTCTGTATTCACACAACATTAAGGTCCAAGCCACGGTGTGAGCATGATAAGGAAGATCCTCCTGGAATGGAGAGATGGCTCACGAGTAAAGAGCACTTGCTGCTCCTGCAGAAAACCTAGTTTCAGTTCCCAAAACCCATACACCAGCTCACAACCACTCATTTTAGAGCCTTTAAATTATGTACTCTCTGAACATCATGGGCTAGAGGTAAATGCACATATATGCACGCATGCAAAACATTAATAATGCACAGGAAATAAAAATCACCTGTGTGTGTGTGTGTGTGTGTGTGTGTGTGTGTGTGTGTGTGTGTGTGCGTGTGAAGGCCATATGTTGAGAAAGCAGAACAACAAAGGAGAGCCTTCAGCAAGTGATCTCCTCCAAGATGGAAGTTGTTAAACTTAGAGTCTATCTTGCATACACATGCCTTTGTTTTCTTATTGTAAAGCAAAAAATCTGTACCTGCCCCATCAAATCCGAACTGAATGTCACTCGCTGTTACAGTGTTTACTAAGTAATGTTTATAAGCTAGCTACTATAAAACAATTGTCTCCCTTCAAAAGCAGTGACAAAAGTGGTTGACTGCTGTGTTTTCTTGTAGAGACAGGCAGGAAGTGTGGTAATAGCTTGAAGAATAGGAATATATGATGGGAGTTTTGTGGAGGACAGTGCTGGGAATACAGGGAATCGGGAAAGATGGGCAAGGTCCTGGGGTTCAAAGAGTCTTATACACTGTATGTAGAAAGTTGAGGAGTGCCACAGACCCAAATGAGTAAACAGAGAGCAGTGCCATAGATTTGTCCTGTGTGCAGACACCAGCAAGAACATAACAGGTCACAATAGCAGGGTACTGACAAGAAACTGGGGGAGCACGCAGGTATCCAAGTGGTACCCTACAAGATGAAAAGGATGAGAGAAAAGCCCCAAAGGTTAGCAAGGAGTCCTTGCCAAAATATTCAAAGCCATATGAAGCACAGGCTGCATGAGACAGCCTTCTTGTATGGTTTAGAGGCCAGTAAAGGACCAATCAGCACTCACCATGGTGACTTTGAAAGGCATCTCCTGGGTGTCCTCTTTGTCAAACTGCTTCTCCCAGTTTCCTTTGAAATAGATGGCATTTACAAGGATGAGCAGAGTGTCTGAATTCACTGTGCCTGGAGACAGCAGCTCTGTAATTTTATCTGAACAGAAAGATTAAAAAGCCATTGAACTAAGAGAGTTGGTGGATGCGTGCAAAGGGGCCACCTGCTTGAATGGTCGAGCATACATTTAAGGGAATTCACTGTCCCTTAAATATAAGTCAAGTATTTGTCCCTAAAGCAACACAACTATCACCACAAAAAAGGGGACACTTTTCAAAGGTTATAAGAAGAAGAAAAAATTAGACAAAAGAAGATATTCAGGAAATAAAAATATCGCTCTTCCAATGAATGCATAATGCATGAGTCAACTCTAGTGCAACCAGTGTAAAAACCCTTAACACATGAGCTAGAAGGAGACCACACATGTCTTAAAGAAGAAACTTAAAGGACTTTTATTTAAAAAAAAATGGAAGAGGTGCTAGGAAGATAGTTCAGTGGTGAAGAGTTCTTACTGCTCTAGTAAAGGACACTGTTTCTGAGTCAAGTGGCTCCCAAATACCTGTGAGTCAACTACAGGGGATCTGATGCCCTCTTCTGATGCCCAGAGGTGAACACATTTACACACAGACACAAAGTCATAGACATATACATAATTAAAAAATACATCTTTAAAAAGTGTTTCGGATATAAACTCAAATCACTCAGTCATTAAAGTGTGTTCTTTGCAAGCACAAGACCTGAGTTCAATTCCCAGAACCCACGTTAACAAATAAATCCAAACAAGTAGATGTGATCTTGCATGTCTGTAATCTCAACCCTTTGAAGGTAGGCTCAGATGGATCTGTTGGATTTACTGAGCATCCAGCATAGCCTACTTGGTGAGTTCCAGTCCAACGAGAGACTTTGTTTCAAGAAAAAAAAAAGGAAATGATGATGAGACGAACAGTGCCTGAGAAACAACATATATGCACATGCACCCACACGTAAACACACAGGTGGACCTGCATTGCACGCACGCGCGCGCGCGCACGCACACACACACACACACACACACACACACACACAAAATAGTATCTGGATCAATAAATATATTAACCTCCTATCTGAGGAAGATTATATGTGTTACAAATAACACAGAGCCCCATATATATGCATAATTTCCTGTGTCGGGCTTTTAAAATTCGATTTAAAAGTAGATGAACAGCTATGCAGCGTTCCTTATCAGTATAAGCGACAGCTTACAATTGCAGTGTTGCAGAATAATCTTTTTGTACACTGTGAAAACTTGTCACTTGGATTGGTTTGATAAAAAGCCGAATGATCAATAGCTACGCACGATTTGGGGGGCAGAGAGGATGCTGGGAAGCAAAACGGCAGAGACACGGAGAGTCACCAGCCAGAGACGGAGGAAACAGGAAAGCAGTATGGGCAGCACAGAGCAAAGGTGATAAAATCACAAGGCAGAAAGTAAATGAATAGAAATGGGTTGATTTCATTACAAGAGCTAGTTAGAACCATGCCTAAGCTGTTGGCTGAGCTTTCAATAGTTAATGATAATTCTCCGTGTGATTATCTGGGATGTGTGACGGAAAGAGCCACCTGCACTGCAGGTGAAGGAGGGCAGGGCCAACCCACCTGTAAGGATGCACTAGAACTATAGAATTTGAGCCATATTAGAACAGGATGCTCCCAACTCGGAGTACAGACTGTTCTTCAGTCTATTCTTAAAGAGACTAAAAAAACGAAAGGAGGCAGAGAGAGATATAAATGGGAAGGAAGGGAAGAAAATGGGGTCTGGGAAAGCAATCTAAGATACTGGGAGACATCGCAGACACACTGGTTAGAGCAGGATAAATCCAGACAGCATGTCAGATACTGTTAATTTGTCAAAGCAGGACTGTAAAGCTTACAGCAATTTAGAGCAAAGATTATTCTCCACCCTCTCACTTTGAGACCAGTCCTCAATAAGTGGCCCTGTTTAGCCAAGAACTCATGATATGTAGATCAAGTCCATAGACCAAGTTGACTTCTAACTCACAAAGAGCCCTCTGTCTCTGTCTCTGCCCACCAAATACTGGGAATAAAAACCTACACCGCTACCCCGGTTATAGAGCAAAGTGTCTTAAAATGTGGGTCATGATCCCACCGTGTAACCGAATGAGGCAGTAGCCAAAACATTGCAACAGCAAAAGGTATTTGAATGTACAAGGACCAAAAATTACTTTGAAATCAAACATGTCTGGTGTATTGTGGCATTAATGGACTGCATTGCATCAGATGGATTCTCTGCAGCCATGGTTTTGAACACACACATGTGTACTGTACTACGCACCTTGACATTCCTATGACACTAACCTGCACTACCTAAAGCACTGTGGTTCAGATTCAGGACTCTTGAGTGCTGGGAACTGCAGTGTTTTCCCACACACGCTTTCTGCTCTTATACAAACAGAATGGCTTAATCATAAAAGATACAGGCTTCTCATATTTTCCCATCATCATTCTTCAGTGAGTAAATACCAAATTATTATATGTATATATATATGGATCATGTTGGGTTGGACAAGCAATACAATCTCATTAGTATGCAAGTGTGTTTTAATCTTAATAAATAATCACATATGTATACAAAATAATTGTTCTAAGATCTTACTTGATGCTTAGTCATGTAAGAATATCTTAAGTGAAAAGAGTCACAAACAGGAAAAGTTTAAGAGGCTCCACTTTAGGGCTGGGCGCTAAAGTTCAGTAGTGCAGGCCTTGCCATCTTGTGCAAAGCCCTGGAGTTGATTCCTAGCATGGCAAAACCATAAAATAAAAAGGAAGTATCACTGTGGTGGTTTAAAAGAAAATGGCCCCCAAAGGGAGTGACACTATTTGATGCAAGCATGTTGGAGTGGGTGTGGCCTTGTTGGAGGAAGTGTGCCCTTGTGGAGGTGGGCTTTGAGGTCTCCTATGCTTAAGCTACGCCCAGTGAGACAGTTTTCCTGCTGTCTTTCAATCAAGATGTAAGGACTCTCAGCTCTAGCACCATGCTTGCCCACATGCTGTCTTGCTTCCCACTACAATGATAATGCACTAAGCCTCCGAACTGTAAGCAAGCCGCCCCAATTAAATGTTTTTCTTTATAAGAGTTGCCATGGCCATGATCTCTTCACAGCAATAGAAACCCTAACTAAGACAATCACCTTAAAAAACAAAGAGTTGATGTTCTTCTGAATGAGAGGATAATAAGACTATTAATAGTGGCTGACCTTGACTGGGAAGTAACTCAGTAATAGAGAGCCTTCTATAGAGCATGCTCAAGGCCCTGGGTTTGATTCCCAGCACCAAAACCAACAAATGAACAGAACAGAACAACACTGAGTTCACCTTCTGTCTTTTTCGCGACCCAGGTGTTGATGTGCTGTCGGGACTGCTCTGTATCACCCTTAAAGTCCAGCTCTTCCATCTCTGCTTCGTAGAACTTGCGGCACGAATCTTTAAAAGACTGAGATAGAGCAACATGATTACACAGCCACGAAAGTGATCAGCACCAACAGCCTCCTTCCCCGCGCACAGAAGCAGGAAAGCATGAATTCAATGATGTACAGAGGCCCTTGCTATTAAACAGGAGGGGAAATCAAAAATACACTCTGTATTCAACTCTTGAATTTTAGTTTTAATTGAGGTGGGAGAGTGGCCTTAAAATGTCACAAGCTGAAAATCATGCAGGCAGTAGCTAAGACTGGCTGAGCTCACTAGGGAAATCCTCAGATGTAGTAACTGTAGGGCCTGTAGAGTGACAGCCCCACAAGAGCTACAACAGCACTGCACAGTGTTGCAGGGAACACAGGAAATAGGAAGTCACTCTGCACCAGTCTTTCACACAGCTTCCTATGAAAACAGAAAGCTGAAATTGTCACTATTCAAGCCTGATGTCACTTAGGGCCACAGACTGCTTCAATACAACAGGTGAAGTGAGGAGACAAATTTATTTTACTTTAAATTTTATTTTAATTGATGATTTGGATTGTGAATAGCTGCATGGGTCTAGTGCTTACCACACTGGGTGGCTCAGCCTCCCAGTGAGAAACTTACAAAAAAGCAATCAGGGCTGGGGCCATAGTCTGGTGAAGAGTTTGGTGGTGGAAGACTGGCCGAGCATGCACAAGGTCCTGGGTTTGATCTCCAGCAGCACAAAAAGATGCTCAGACTATATTGCTGGCACATTATATGAGATGAGTGTGATGTTGATGATTACCCACAATCTGCTGTATTAGAGCAGAAAATGATACAGCAGCACAAATGTGTTGGAACATGCATTAGGTTGATAGTGTATAAGGGATGATAATAAGTAATAATAACGCAATAATGAGGAAAGAAAGACTAGGGCGTCTTTCTTCCAAACTGGTCATGGTTATATATTTCATTTGTTTTTCAGGGTACTGGTTTTATAATAGAACTTCACAATTCTCCTTAGGTGTGAGAGGGAGACAGCTTCTCAGAGGGTTCCTGTAGGTCCAGTGGGAGAACAATTAACAATGCATATTATAATCTCAAAGCTTCATTTTCTTTCTTCTACAAATACATCTGGGAGGAAATAAACAATGCATAAAGTCATATTCAATATCACATGGTTGGTGATGGCGCAGACAGGGTACAAATTAAAATCCCTCCATGAGAAAATGGCTTTTTATGCCATGAAACATGTATACTCATGACGATCAAAGGATGGCTAATCATGGGGGATGTGGCTCAATGTTGGAGTATATGTATGTTTAGCATGTGTGAAGCCATGATTCCAACACCAACATCAGTAATAACAATAAAGTAATAATAGTGGGACAATAATAAATAATGACATAATAAATTGTAGTACAACATAAATACAAAGAATGAAAGAAACAAATTGTGAAACAATATGTATGTTCTGATAGCTGTATGCAGAAAAAATATTCACAAATGAATTTCTGTATATGCGGCAAGATAAACATCAACTCTATAGTACTTATCCTGGGTGACATAGAGATTGGGAAACAGGTTGAGGAGGGCTGGTGCTTTGCTGACTTACTGTGTATTCTGTACAACCCAAAACAACACAAATGCACATGACCATATACAATTGTACTGGCACCCAGATAGTTGGGGACACCCAGCTCAGACACTTCCTGCTGTACCACACAATTCCTCTCTCATTCATAAAAACTGGAAAGACTTACTGCTAAGATATCAAGAGTCTTTTCCCCGAAGATCCTGTTGGCTGTTTTGAGCAAGTACCGTGTGCCAGTCTTGTTCACTTCGGTGAGAAGTGACTGGAAGCCCTGGTGGACATCTCCACCTCCATTGCCACTGCATTTATCCAAAGAGAGTGCCTGAAATCAAAACAGAATTCCAGTAAGTACAGCTTTAGGAAAATAGTCAACACTAAGCTCATCCTCAGAATTTTACAGATCCCTGCTGCCACTTAAATAAGCACCTAAAAAGACGACAAAGTTGCTTTGAAAGTTCCCTCTCTAATGTCCTTTTTGAGACTCTGTCATCCCTTGACTGAGCAGAAATGGACCTCCAATAACCTCAGCTCTTCATACTTACTACTTAATATCTGGCTAAAATCATTAATGCCAACCCAACCTCTAATGGCTCAAAGCAGGCAGCTCCCGGCCTGAGACCTTGGCAGTCTCTCCTCTGCCCTTGGAACTAGGCCGGCTTTCCTACTGCCTGACTGTGCCAGTTTTATGTCAACTTGACACAAGCAAAAGACATCAATCAGATGGAAAAACAAAAAACCCAGGATAGCCAAAACAGTCTTATATAATAAAGGAACTTCTGGAGGCATTACCATCCCTGACTTCAAACTCTACTACAGAGCTACAGTATTGAAAACAGCTTGGTATTGGTATAAAAACAGAGAAGTCGACCAATAGAATCGTATAGAAGACCCAGATTTTAACCCACAAACCTATGAATACCTCATTTTCGATAAAGGAGCTAAAAGTATACAATGGAAGAAAGAAAGCATCTTCAACAAATGGTGCTGGCACAACTGGATGTCAACCTGTAGAAGAATGAAAATTGACCCATATCTATCTCCATGCACAAAACTCAAGTCCAAATGGATCAAAGACCTCAATATCAGTCCAAGCACACTGAACCTGATAGAAGAGAAACTGGGAGGTACCCTACAACAGATGGGCACAGGCGATCGCTTCCTAGGTATAATCCCAGAAGCACAGACATTAAGGGCAACATTGAATAAATGGGACCTACTGAAACTGAGAAGCTTCTGTAAAGCAAAGGACACTGTCACTAGGACAAAAAGGCAACCCACTGACTGGGAGAAGATCTTCACCAACCCCGCAACAGACAAAGGTCTGATCTCCAAAATATATAAAGAACTCAAGAAACTAGACTTTAAAATGCTAATTAACCCAATTAAAAAATGGGGCACTGATCTGAACAGAGAATTCTCAACAGAAGGAGTTCAAATGGCCAAAAGACACTTAAGGTCATGCTCAACCTCCTTAGCGATCAGGGAAATGCAAATCAAAACAACTTTGAGATATCATCTTACACCTGTCAGATTGGCTAAAATCAAAAACACCAATGATAGCCTCTGCTGGAGAGGTTGTGGAGGAAGGGGTTCCCTCATCCATTGCTGGTGGGAATGCAAACTTGTGCAACCACTTTGGAAAGCAGTGTTTCGGTTTCTCAGGAAATTCGGGATCAACCTACCCCTGGACCCAGCACTACCACTCTTGGGAATATACCCAAGAGATGCCCGATCATCTGACAAGGGCATTTGTTCAACTATGTTCACAGCAGCATTATTTGTAATAGCCAGAACCTGGAAACAACCTAGATGTCCTTCAATAGAAGAATAGATGAAGAAAGTGTGGAATATATACACATTAGAGTACTACTCAGCGGTAAAAAACAATGACTTCTCAAATTTTGCATGCAAATGGATGGAAATAGAAAATACTATCCTGAGAGAGGTAACCCAGACCCAAAAAGATGAACATGGGATGTACTCACTCATAATTGGTTTCTAGCCTTAAATAAAGGTCAGTGAGTCTATAATTGGATATCTTAAAGAAGCTAAATAAGAAGGTGAACCCAAAGAAAAACATATAGCTATCCTCTTGGGTAGGGGAAGTAGACAAGATTGCCAGGCAAAAATCGGGATCTTAAGGGTGGCGGGGAGGGGGGTAAGGGGAGATGGGGAGAGAAAAGTGAGAAGGGTAGGATGGGGAGAACTTGGGGCAACGGGATGATTGGGATAAAGGAAGGTTGGATAGGGGAGCAGGGAAGCACATAACTTAATTAAGGGAGCCATCTTAGGGTTGGGAAGAGACTTGGACCTAGAGGGGCTTCCAGGTGCCCAAGGCGAGGTCCCCAGTTAGTTCCTGGGGCAGCTGAAGATAGGGAACCTGAAATGATCCTATCCTATAGCCATACTGATGAATATTTTGCATATCACCATAGAACCTTCATCTGGCGACGGATGGGGATAGAGACAGAGACCCACACTGGAGCACTGGACTGAGCTCCCAAAGTCCCAATGAGGAACAGAAGGAGTGAGAAGACGAGCAAGGAAGTCAGGACCAAAAGGGATGCACCCACCCACGGAGACAGTGGGGCTGATCTATTGGGAGCTCACCAAGGCCAGCTGGACTGTGACTGAAAAAGCAGGGGATAAAACCGGACTCTCTGAATATGGCGGACAATGAGGGCTGCTGAGAAGTCAAGGACAATGGCACTGGGTTTTGATCCTACTTCATGTTCTGGCTGTGTGGGAGCCTAGCCAGTTTGGATGTTCACCTTCCTAGACCAGGATGGGGGGGGGGGGACTTTGGACTTTCCAAAGGGCAAGGAACCCTGACTGCTCTTCAGACTTGAGAGGGAGGGGGAGAGAAGTGGGGGGAGAGGGAGAGGAGTTGGGGGACGGGGAGAGGAGTGGGGGGGGAGTGGGAGGTTGGGAGGAGGCGGAAATTGTTTTTTTCTCAATAAAACAAAAAGAAAAAAAAGACATCGATCAGAAAGGAGGGGAAACTCAGTTAAGAAAATGTCTCCAAGTCAGGCAGTGGTGGTGCACATTTTCAATCCCAGCCCTTGGGAGGCAGAGGAAGGTGGCTCTCTGTGAGTTTGAAACCAGCCTGTTCTATAAAGTGAGTTCCAAGATATCCAGGGTAGTACAGAAAAACCTTGTCTCAAAAAAAAAAATGCCTCCATAAAACTGAGCTGTAAGCAAGCTTGTGCAGCATCTTTTCAGTGATTGATGTGAAAGGGCATTGTATCTAATGCCCAGCCCTTTGTAGGTAGGTGCCATACTTGGGTCAGTGATTCCAGGTTCTATTAGAATGCGGGCTGAGCAAGCCATGTGTAGCAAGCCAGTAAACAGCATTCCTCCATGGCCTCTGTATCACTTCCTATCTCCAGGTTCCTGCACTGTGTGAGTTCCTGCTTCTACTGTTCTTGTTGGCAAACTGTTATACGGAACTGTAAGTGGAAATAAACCCTTTCCTCCCCAAGTTGCTTTTGGTCATGGTGTTTCCTCACAGCAATGGCAACCCCAAGACACTTACCAACAGTATTCAGAGGTAATACTATTCCAGGTGTGGGTCTTCAAAGACCCAGTGCCTTATCTGTGTCCAGCTAGTTTCATGGAAAGAAGAACAAACTATCCTGCTGCCGTCAGCGTGGAAACCTCTGGAGTAGGAACCCCAGACATGAGATCAGCCTCAGGGGATCTTCCAGCCTTGCTAAAAGAGCTCTATCTGGTTCCACCCCGAGGAGAGAAACTCCTCATAAGACCCAAGATTCTGAGAAACATTGTTAGTGTTGCTTCATGCACTGCATGTCGGCTTGGCTCGTTCTGAAACAATTGACGAGGCTCACAGCAATCCAGAAATCTAGTTCATGTTATTGACACGAGATGCACTAGCTGGCAAGGCAGGAGAGTGAAATAACGACCACCGGGGTCTGGAGAACAGGGCCCGTGCTTTGGTGTCTATGGGCAGAAGTACTTGTTTGTTGTGATAAGACATAGGAGACCTTGTCCCTGTGACAATTTGTTATCTGTCTAAATGATGGTGACCATATTTGGAGATAGGCCTGTGCAGGAATACTAAAATTAGAAAGAGGCCATAAGGGTGAACTCTAAGCCAGTCTGATAAGTATCATTATAAGAAAGGAGATCAGATCGCAGAAAACAGGAAATACACAGTGAGAACATGGAGAGTAGCTGCTATCTGTAAGGCATAGAAAACCAAAATGTCAACTTCTTGGTTTTAGACTTCAGCCTGTAGAATAGTAAAAATAAAACTGTGTATTATTTAAATCACCTAACCAGTGGTGTTTGTTACATACATGTGCCTAATAACACATGTCCCCATTCCCCATTTCTGAAGAAAGGGGGCAACCCCACATCCCTCATTGTCTCCCCATGTTATTCCAGACAGATTGTCTTTGTGACTCACAAACCTCTGCACCTAAAGTGCCGTACCCAGAAGGAGTTGCAGTTGCTTCTGTTCCTGACCCAATGTGGGAAGAAATTTTAGGGTCGTGGAAGGGATCAGCCCGGTGTACTTTCCTTGGAGGAAGGCTGAGGCCCATAAGGAGTCAGAGAACAGATAATGGGGGAAAGGGTGGACTTGGTGATGAACCTTTGATGTTCCTGGCCCAAGTGATCCCCAACCTACCAACATTCACTCCACCAGCACTGATGGATCAAGGTGCTCATGCCAGGGTCCCAGCAGGGATAGCAGATACTTCCATCACATATACCCACATCCTGATGTCACCAACAGTTGTTCATCAAGAGCAGTCACTTGGAGATTTGGGTCAGCTCAACTGACACTCCGTGGTATTCAGCTGCTGAGAAGCAATGCTGCCTACCTGAGCCATCTGGCTTGCAGTGTTTCCCTTTGCCCCCATGAAGACCATGGCCAGGCATGAGGAGATGCTCATGGGTGAGAAAAACACATTTTTAGAGCTGTCTTCACCCAGGATTTTCAAAAGATTTAAGGCAAAGGTGACATTTGCTTCTAGGAGAGGATCCATGATAGTGAGCCTGGAACGAGGAATTAAAATCAGTATCACATAAATACAGCTGATGTGCGAGCTGCATCTTCAGTCTCACTCACACAGAGATGCTGGGGCTCAGTGAACACGGCACACACAGCATGAAAAGTAAAGGTTACATACATCAAATGATACCGTTCTGCCGGGAGCAAGCAGGTTAACTCAGGGCCAGTGCCTTGTCTTTCTACTGTGCATGAAATCAGTAATTACATGAGGATCCAGGAGTCAGGAGAGAGGACAAGAGGCAGCAGTCGACTCACCAGCCCACAAATCTACAAATGTAGCAGAAAAGGCAGGAAGCTTGAAACTGTAGGAGCCGGGCCTGTCTGCTCTGACATCAGCCACAGTTACCAAACTCCCATTTCTGCAGCCTAACAGTCTTGGCATTCTAAGAGGCTTCCAGTGAAACTCTGAACAGTGTGTGAGAAGATACAGAACAAGAAAAGAGGAAAGCAAGTGCCTACCAGCAAGGGAAGGGAACCCAACTCCAGCGCAAGTGAAGAGGAACAATACAACCTGGCTGTTAGCTGTGCTCAGCCTGACACAGGTGCTGAAGATATAATCCCAGGTCCCAACCCTTGAATTTACATACTCACAGCCTTTACAAACTATTTCAGCTGTTTTTTTTTTTTAATTATTGATGCTCAGAACTATCCAGTTTTGGTGAGTGAGGTTCTCTTTAAACCTTGTTTACTTTTCCTTGGGTTTTTTTTTTTTTTTTTTTTGGTCTTAAACATCCTGGCTTTGTAATAACAAAATGGCCTTCCATGCGATGCTCACCTCTCTAGCCCAAAAACACAACATTGCTCATCTCCTCGTTTCTGTTGATAGGAGGGTTGTGAGTGCAGCTGTAGCGACAGAACTGAGTGAAAACCCAGCTGCTGCTATTGAGCACACCAGCACCAAGCTGGGAGGCACACTTCCCTTCACTGCTCAAATGGACCACGCAATAAAGGCCATCTCGAAAGCTCCCATGCACTTGACTCTTCTGAGACACACCGACACTCAGAGGCAGTCACCAAGCGTCCAGTACATCATTCTTCTGTTTTATTATGCAAATGTGTTATGCAACTGGTATTCTTGGACCGCATTATTTGCAGGACTCCATTTTGGATGCTTTTGCTGTAAGTGCTGCACAGCTCAGTCCCCTCCACCAGTGTCATCTGGGCTGGGCCCTAAGAACTTGCTACTTCTGCTTCACTCCCTCGCTCTGAGGGCACATGCTGTCCAATCCGTTGATTTATTGATTTTCTGACAAGATCATTGTCCCTCCTTTCCACAGAGACCTTAGCAGCGTCTATAATAGGCCGGGTATGGTTTTTGCATTTGAATCTTGGGGCCTTTGCTTAACTATTTACAGCCATCAGCTTTGCTGTTGAGAAGTCTGGTGGCATTTGACCCTAGATCATCACCTTTCCTTCCCTTGTCCTGCACTCACCCCTGACTCTGAGGGACTTCTCCTTCTAAGACTGTACCTGTGGCCCCTTCTGAGCTTCTTCTTCCCTCTACTGACACTGAGAAACTTCCTCCAGCAACATGCTCCCTGAAAACATCTGCAGGCCTGGCCTGCCCATCCCTCTCTTGTCTTGACCTTGTTCGAATGGCTTAAGATTGTCGCCTTGACTGTTAGTTTAACAGGGCTTTCTGAGAACAAGGAGATAGAGTGCATAGGACAAACTATTTCTGTGACCAGAATAACTAAACATCTGAATGCCTAAAAATTCACATATTTTTATTCCCCCTTATTCCTCACATTTTTGGTGAAATATGTCAAAACCTTAAGTAAAATCCTCACTCATCCATCGCTCTGAATTTGAAAAGAATATATTGCAAAATAATGAAACAATTTTCACTTCCACTATGCAATATATAAATTTTTAGCAATCAAATACTCAGAGACTAAAAATATTCAGTGCATATCCCCAACACAATGTTAATCCTTATCTAATGTGAAAGTGTTCACCACTGTATGAATACTATTCCTGGAGCAGAAAGCACAGATCAGTGGCAAAGCCCTTGCCTGGGATATTTCAGACTCTGGGGTCAAAACTCACATTGTACAAAAATGTCATGTTACTTTCAAAATCGAAAACAATTTTTAATTAGGGACATAAACCATACTATTAATGTTAGTATTGCACAGTTTTCTGTGCTGCTAAGAGCAGTTCAACGAGCCTATTTCGGAATCATCTCCACTTGGAGCAGCGTTGCCACCTTTGGGTACCGACTGAGTTCTAGGCATAGTATGTTCGTTAAGTCAGGAGTCTCCACTTCATTGTGCTTCTTGATCTCCGTAAGGACAACTTCATTTCCTCACAAACTTTGACCATTTAAATGCTGGTTTAATGGGTCCTTGGACTTTTGTTTGGTTCCCACCTTTCCTTTCCTGGTCGGCCAGTTTCCCAAACCATAACCACCACCTGCTGCTCCTCTGACAATGCCCTTCTGTCAGATATGGAGAAACTGTTGATTCCAAACCCTGCTCCGATTTCATCTGCTGCTTCTGCAGTGAGCTTGTGGAGATTCACTGAACTGTAATAAGATACTTTGGACTGGAATAGGCCTGGTAGAAATTTAAATAGCCTTGTCTACGTATCTGAAGACCATTAGTTTAAATCTGAAGATACGAAATCCTCAGGTGATCAATTCTTTTTATAAACATAGTAGGCTGGGCAGACTATTAAAGGGTAAAGCGCTTGCCTCTCAAGCAGGAGGACAGGAGCTTGGGTCCCAAGAACCCAGATAAAACCCAGACAGATGCCATAACCTCTGGATTCCCAGCCCACTGGAGGAAAAGACAGTGAATGCCCAAAGCAAGCTGGCTAGTCAAAATAGCCAAAATGGCCAGTCCTATGTTCATTAGAAGTACACAGCGGGGAAAGCATAATAAAGATGCCAGACATCAACCTTGAGACTTATGTGCCAAACACCCCCTCTCTGTGCGATGACAGAAGGCATAGTCGATGCCCTTACTCAGGGAAGTCCTCAAACACTAACAGCCATTCCTGTGGCCACATGCATGTATCCATGAGCCTCAGCACTGCTCGCAAATGATAGTCAGAACCCATACCACAGCTATCCACAGGAGGAAGGGGGCAGCCGTGCGTACAATGCTATCACAAGCAACGACTTCCCGGGCAATTTGAAACCAGTGAAGAGCCAAACCTCATCAGCTTCCTGACACCAAGTGAATGCTAGATTTCCATATTTCTAATTATCAAAACAGATTCAAGGAGGAAGGTGGAGCAGCATGCTTGTGGCTGGGGCTGGGGCTGGGGGTGCGTGTGTGTGTGTGTGTGTGTGTGTGTGTGTGTGAGAGAGAGAGAGAGAGAGAGAGAGAGAGAGAGAGAGAGAGAGAGAGAGAGAGAGAGCGCAAGCGTCCAGTAGTCCAAGGCTGGGAGTCCATCAACAAAACAAAGAGGAAGAGAGGAAAAACAAACACACATTCCAATTTCATCTGGTACAGAAATTATATCAAAACTTTGCCTATGTCCTACTAGTCCCGCAACATTTCCCAGACATGAGTTAAATTTTAAAAAGAAAGAAAAATCTGTAATTGTTCTCGGTATCAATCCTCTCAGGCATATGAATTTATAAGTTCTGAGGGTCTGGGCAACCTGAGAACAGCCCAGCCCCGCCCCGTCTCTGAAACTAGGACACAGCAGCCAGTAAGAGACCACCTGGGTAGATTCTGTTGCCCTGGGCAGATTACTAGGTCCCTCTAGGTTCCCAACCCTCCCGGATTCTGATGCCTGTCTGTCACAGGGCAAATCTCAGCAAAGGGAACAGAAGGAGACCCCTCCTAACTCCACGCCCACTCCTCCCATCTACGCGGGCGCCCCCAGCGCCCCGCCCCACAGCCCCACCGCAGCGGAGCTTACCCGGGGATCCTCAGTTCAGGCTAGTTGAACCTAGGGGAGGAAGAGCGGGTCTCTACTCTAATGCTGGCAGGGCGGAGAGTTGTGAAGTCCGGAAGGAAGCGGTAGTGGGAGCGGGGGAGAGGGTGGGGGGCGACAGAAGTGGCTGTGGGCTGTCAAGGTGAGAAGAAAAAGCTGGAGGGCGAGATAGTCCCTGCTCTTTGATCAGAATCTGCAGGCGGGTCTAGTATTGGTTGCTCTGACTATATAAGCTATGAAAAAAAAAAAAAAAAACAGGAATTGAACTAAACCATTAGGGGAAAATGTGCCAGCTCTTAATGGGGATAAATTAGACAGTATTGAGCAGGAATTTTAAAAGCTGGGAGGAGGCATTTAGGATTATGGCAAGAGGTCAATGCCTGCCCAGCAAGCACAAAAACAAACAAACAAACAAACAAACAAAAAACAGAAGCCACCATGGTCAATGCTGTGTCAGCCTCTACTACTCTTGGAGCCCTCAGGTATTGACATTTTATGTAAATGGCACTGAAAATTCTGATACCTCACACCTCTCCCAGGGAGCAAGATGACCCGGTGGGGAGATAGCAGGCCAGGTATAAAAGACTGTCTCTCCCCACCACCCCTGCTTTCCGCATCTTTCTCTGTGTGGTTCCTCCCCTCCCATGGGTATGTATGTTACACAGATTCACAAAGCCCAGGATGGTTTCAAGTAGCCCTAGCTGAACTTAAATGTGCTTTGTAGCTGGGTATGACCTTGAACCTCTGATCTATCTGCCTCTATCTCCCAAGTGCAGGAATTACAGGCCTGTAATATGAGGAAACACGGAGCTGAGGGAAGGCCAACATGAGATCCAGAAACAATGTGGTATCTATGTACACAGACAAGACAGAGTTCTTCTGGCTCAGTTGTTGCTACTAACGTGGATCCAACTGCTGCTCTCTAAAGCCCAGGACAAGACCCATCTTGAAAGCAGTGATCAACACATGGACTAGGGTACAGTGGCATAGCTTGATCACACAGCCCCATCTCCTACCTCCCTACATTGTGTTTCCTCTGTTCTCCAGCAGCCGCTGCTCTGTGGTAGTGCTCTGTGGCTGTGGTCTGTGGCAGTGGTCTGTGGACGGCCCAGGAGAGCTTCTGTCTTCCTGCCTGAGAGGCTGAGCAGTCTGCAGTCTCCCATCTGACCTCACCACGTTAGCCATACTCACAGGAAGCCACACAAGCTTCCTCCCCAGCTCACTATCAAATGACTTTTGCTCTATACCATGAGCATACAGCTGGCTTCCGAGTAAATATTGATGTGAAGTCCCCTCACTGAGAGCTTCACATTTGATCCCAGGGCATCTCGTCTTTGCACTCTATAACACAAATGCCCTTTGAATAGCTATCTGAGGAGTATGTGTGGGAAGACAGTTAGACCCTGGACTCTACAGGCCTCCCTGTGCTTCAAGGCAGAGCTGTCTTTCTACACTAATTCTCCTGCTCTTTCTTCAAGGACAGATAAGTGATGGTCTCTGACCTTCTTTGTGATGAACACAGAGTTATCTGTGGGAGGAACTGGCCAAGAGATGCCACAAAATAAGGCATGAAAACCAACAGGAGGCAGTAGTCACTCTAGCTGAACCCAAGATATTGTTGTTGCCAGGTCAAAGGAAACTCCAAACTTCCCCAGATTCCAAAGGGCTGAAGGAACAGATGGCTATCGTGGTACCTATTAGCATAGCAAAGTACATGCTGGCCTCTCGGTGTCATAAATACCTGTTCCACATTTCAGAGTGCATGCTGGCATCCTGACTATTCTCAGCTGTCCTCCCTTCCCTCTTCCCCTAAATTCCCTCCAGCTCAGGAGCGTCCCTTACCCCAGTCACTTACCCTCCTTAATTTCAGCTATGCTCTCTCTTTTACACACATTCTCTCTGCCTTTCTCTCTCTCCCTCCACCTCTGACTCTCCTGCACTCTCCCTTTCTCTGTCTCTGGGCTTTGTTCCTGTTTCTCACATGGCTAGGTCCAGTCTGGTGTCCATGTTCAGTATATACTTTCTCATATCTGCAATAAAAACAAAAAGCCTTCCCCTCATCTATACTAAGGAGAACGGGTCATCTATGCAGTAGAGAGTCGGGGGCTCCGGGAGTGCAATTGACTAGTGTGAGGTACTGATACAGCAGAGACTCGGTGAAACAGAATACATGGAGCGCTGCATGGTGCTGGCTCCGCTGTATCAGTCGCAGGGACTTGCTGCCAGCCTTGCAGGATGTCCCGCTCTAGAACTCCAAAAGGCCCCCGAAGGCCCTTAGTCAGTGTCTCAAGCCTGCAGTTACCTTGGATTCCAGAAACAACAAGACAGCTAAACATCTTCATGAGACGTGACAAAAAACACCCCGGACCAATCTTGCGCCTCAGAAACCAGAGCACTCAATTCTCTATGGCTTCGAGGCTGCACCTGGAACTGAAACAGATGCTGCCTGCCTAAAGCAATGAGAGGTTCCTCAAGGCGACTTTCAGAAGCAGACTGGAGATAAAGAGCAACTGGCCTCACCCAGGCCAGAACTGATAAACTATGTGGCCCTCTTGTCCTCCTGATTAAATGGGGTTCATGTCAGTCCCCTGAAGAGGAACTTGAGGTCACTGGAGCCCCTTTTCTGTTCCTCTCCCCTGCTTTGATTAGTTAAATCTCTGTTTCTCTGTGTTTCACCATGACTGTGTCTTCCTTAGTTCTCTTTTGATGACTCTTAAACCTGGGCTATTTGTCATAACACTCCAGTAACATTTGCCTGCGTCAGTCCCATCTATCACCGTGAGCTGGGACTCGAAACGCACACTGTGTACGTGTTTGTGTGTGTGTGTGTGTGTGTGTGTGTGTGTGTGTGTCTGTCTGTCTGTCATATGTTGATTCTGAGAAAGGAATCTAGTCCCAGTTTCCTTCAAACTTGCTACTATCTGGCCAGCTGAGAGACAATTGCAGGCAGTATGTCTGCAAGTGGTTCCATCCTAGAATCCACAGTGAAGGTACCAAAGTAAAAAGGAGCCAAGTGTCTGAAGAATTTCAAGGACATCATGATCAATGGACCGTCAACGATGTGCTTTTGAAATACACAAATGTACACATTCACATACAGCAACACATACATGTCCATGCACACACAGATACACAAACACATCCAATACACATAAACATATTCATACACTCACATTCTTTCACATATCCACCAGTACAGATTTAAGCATGACTCACCTGAGTCGGGAAGCTCTCTCTCTCAGAGTCAACAAATTTAAATTTACTGGTGTAACTATGATCTCAATTTTACTTGGTTCTCTTTACATGGGTCTCTTTTATTCCTGCCATCTTCTATTGGGTCCAGAGCCTAAATAACATTGCTTGCCTCCTAGCTTTTAAGTTTCTTCCCTTTCTCAAGAATGAGGTAAGACTGGAAATTGAGCACAGGCAGCTAGATCTGATTTTCAACAATTAAGTGACACTGTTAGTCCCACCAATTAAGACTAAGACCATTACTACATTTAAAGCCAAATTTTCAGGAAGCTTTGCTTAAATACTGGCCAGATAGATGGGCTCTAGCCAGGTTCATATCCAGGCTCCTGGAAAATAATTCAAGAATCAAGTATGGCAAGGGCTTAACAAGGAAAACCTATAATGCATTGCATTCCCCATCAGGGCCAAGCATACATCCCAACATACCTCCAGCCTATACCCAATGAAGGGCAAGCATACATCCTGACTTATTTCCTGACTGGGAACCTCCTACCCACATGTGATCAAAAGAGGTCCAACAAACTTGTCGAGGGAAGTAAAAAACATGTGGCTTGTTATCTCCCATAAATAATGGCCTCCAAGCCGGGTGATGGTGGCGCACGCCTTTAATCCCAGCACTCGGGAGGCAGAGGCAGGCGGATCTCTGTGAGTTCAAGACCAGCCTGGTCTAAAGAGCTAGTTCCAGGACAAGCTCCAAAGCCACAGAGAAACCCTGTCTCGAAAAAAAAAAAAAGAAAAAAAAAAGAAATAATGGCCTCCAGCATTTCAGAAACTATTCATCCTTGAGCAAGAGACTGCAGATCAGAGACATTTTGTTTTATGGGTCTCTTAGTCATAGTAATTAAAACTTAAAATGTAACTTTGGCTCTCACAATAGCAGATACATTTTAAACATTTTTGTTTCCAGAATGAACTGTTCGTTATGAGTTATGGAGTTAAAGACCACCAGGAAAGGACCACAGACTCAATTCAAATTATAATTAGATGAATTTATTAATACTACTAGCAGGTGGAGAGCCTTAAGGCCAAATCGAAGGGTGGGCACCCAGAAGGGGCTGGGGGAGACCCTGACTGTCTCTTTTCTGTGGAACTGGCAGCTGTAAGAGAGACTACTTCACTCCCCTTTGCTACAGGAGAAGCTGCCTCTCTCCTCTGCACAGTGATAAAACTGTCCTCTTCCCCGCATACAGTGATAAAGGGAGCTGACCCCTCTCTCTGCACACAGTGTCAAGAAACTGTGCCCTTCTCCCCTGCACATAGGGATAAAGGAGCTAAAGGAGATGTCCCACGCACTGCTGCACAGCCACAAGCAGGATGACAAAAACCTAAGAAAGGAGTTAATTATCTTGCAGGAGGTACTTCATTCTGGGGAGAGTTCATCTTTCAGGAATTTAGGTTAAATGTCCATGGCCACTAAGAGACTGCTTGGTACAGTGAGATTTCTTAGCCATCACAATGTGTAGGGAACCGTTGTGAAATTATACTACTGCGATTATTTTTCTTGGTTTATGCTTTCACCCACTGTGGGAAACGTAACAGAATGTCCCTTGCTGGGCTATTGTTCTATACTCAGAAAGTGACTTTGATCTTTTAGATGTCAATATTTTGTAAAATGTGAGGTACTCCCTTGATAAATAAATAAATAAATCCTGTTTTAGGAGGGATCAGTGAATTCCTATCTTGGCGAGTGTAAAGACAATGAAACAATGTCAAGACAGAGAAATCAGAGAAACCCTCATTGCCTACAGCAAGGACAGCACAGGAGACACATGCCCATGACACTGGTCTTCAGAGAGCCTATGCAGATCTGAATGGG